ATCAGATGGGTTCTCCCGCGTAGGTTCGAATCCTACTCGCAGCGTTTATTTTTATTTTCATTCAATTAATTCTAATCATTTTTCTCTGCAGAAAGCTATTCCACGATCATCTTTTATTATTGATGTTTGATTTGCAAAGTATATGAGATTAATTTTGAAGAAGTCAGAAAAATCTCAGAAATATAGTAATGTAACGTTATGCATTCATTTCATTAGTGTTTCAAATCAATTGACTAGTAATAGCTCCTTTTATAAATAATATTAATAGAAAAGAGAGTCTATCAAAAATCTAGTGAAATTAAATACCATTCTTTCACTTGATGATTTAGATGATATACTTTTCAAAGAATGAAGAATTAAGAATTGAGGAAGGCTTAAGATTCGAGTGTTTTTGTTTTTTTTCGATCAATCTCTGAGTCAACAGCTCAATGTTTCGACCATTGCATAAGGATAGTTTTGAATCGTGAATTCATTAAATTATTGATTTCATTCACTAGAGTTAACAATAAGCTTATCTTTGATATAGTCTTGTTATTTATAAAGCTATTTTTCAAAACTTTGCCAGAATTTCAAAATAGTTCTTTTGACTTCGGGTAAATCTGTTAAGACTCAAGACGAAACTCAAAAGGACTTCGCACGAATCCACACTAAAATAAAATGTGTTGCATTGTAAGTGTTTCGTAATCTGTTAGATAACCATTCATTCAACGCTTGTTTTTTGGAGTACAACTAGATATAGTAGAGTCGATTGAGCATGTTAACCTTATGCATTTCAGGCAATATTGCAGTCTAGATTATTTCTTGATTAGTCATTGCTTGAGAATCTGTTGAAAAATTGTTAGATAGAAAGGTTGTCGAGATCGAAACCAAAATACAAGAAAAAAGTTACCCTAACCAAAACTGTAGACTATAGTTAAATATTGCATGGTTTTTCAATGCCAACCATTGACAAAATATTCAAGAACATAAGAAAGATGATAACTACATCGACGTCTGTTTTTTTGTCATTTAAGAGCGAATATGCTGATGGTTAATTTAAGTATCGCTAATTTTCATTAATACTTATTTTGAAATTTGAACCTTTCAGATTTGGACAAATTTTATTTAAAATTTTAGAATGTGGGTATGTGGATGAGGCGGTGCCTGTCTTCTAGTC